ATAGTAAATACAACACGCACGGAGAAGACACATGAAAGAGCTGCCTTTCTTGTGCAAAAGATGACGCTGTTCTCTAACCTCTGGTCCTACTTCACTCTGTCACTTGACATACCAACTGGTTGTCATGCGATGAACAGAAGACTGGATGCACGACACATCCAACGGACCTGCAGACAGACAGCTTCTGGAAGGAGGGTGACCTTGTCAACACCCCATTATTCTGGCTCAGGTAAATGGTGTGGGCTTCTCTGACTCCAGCCTGAGCAAACGCAGGAGTTGTGTGGTCCCACAGAACTCTAATCTATTCCTTCCTTGCATTTTCCTCAGTATCTTGTTTTGAGACTGGGTTTCTCTGTGTAAACAGTCTTAGCTGTCCTGAAACTTGTTCTGTAGACCGGGATTGAATTGACAGAGATCCGCCTGTCTCTGCCTTCATTGTGCTGGGATTAAAAGCATGGGCCGCCACCTCCCGGCCTTTCCTTGGTTTGTAAGGATGTATTACGTTGTGTGACTGCTATATTCAGATCTGACTCCAAATACTTTTATTTTAAATTTATTTTATGTGCATTGGTGTCTGAAACTGGAGTTACAAACAGTTGTGAGCTGCTCTGTGGGTGTTGGGAATTGAAGCTGGGTCCTCTGGAAGAGCAGCCAGTGCTCTTAACTGCTAAGCTCTTTCAGCCTCATCTCCCAATTCTGCTTGTAAGCTATGAGAGCAAAGACCTTGTTGGCTTTAGCTCAGCATTGTCTCTCAGGATCACAGACAGAGCCCGGCACATACGGATGACTGTCTGCTGACAGAAAGTCAAAACCTCATTTCCTTTCTTTTTCTAAGCATATAAAATTCTCTGAAATGGAATAGTTTCTTCAGTGTTTACCAAGTGCTAACAACACTGACGTACACACGCACACCCCACCCCACATGCACATGCATGCACACACCCTGTGGTGGTCTGAGGAAGTGTATGCAGTTCAAATGGTGTCAGGCTCACAGTGGTAAATGAATAACTAAGCAATGCAATATTTAGAATCTCATTACTGCAGTTGAAAACCTGCAAGTGATTTGTTTCTGTACTTTTATGTCTAACAATCTTACTGGGTTTATTATTGTTTTTAGTGATTTCTACGTGGGGAAAATGTTTTGAGGTCATGAACATCTTTAATACTGAAGATAAGGGTGGATGCAGAATACAAGCTTGGTGGAAAGTTACACGTGAAAACATCACAAAATTTTTACAAAGACCTCAGAATACAAGCTATCGTTAACGATCAAAACAAACAAACAAAAAAAGCAAAAAGCAAAACTCATACATATATGTGTCCACATGGAAAGCTGAAGAATAAAAACTTTCTAGTAATTCTATTCTTTTATTTGGAAGATGTTAATTATCTCTGAAGAATATAAAACCTCTTCTAAAGCTTGCTAACATCAAAACACAATGAGTTAAAAAAATAATGTTCTTAAATAAATAGAAGTATAATAATCACATATACTGGTATCCTCCTCCATTTCCTGTTCAGGACAGAAAGTTTGGCCCACCCCGATGATTAAGTCAGCAAAGAGGATTACTGTAAATTTAAGATTGCAACTCACTGTGGACCCGAGTTCCAACCATCCTCTAATCCTAACATGGGGCCCAATAACGGCCATTAGTTTGCACAGAAATTCTTGCCAATGACCCAGTCAACACCACGGTAAAAATGAACGTGAGCATTTGAAAGTGTGTGTTTCACTAAGTCCTTCAGTATAACACCAGAGGATAGCAATGTGGAATACAGAGACCATTAAATGTATAAGCATTTCTTTCCCTTTTTATCTTATGATTCAACATGCATGCATCTACCTGTTGGCATTTATTAACTTATTCGTTAAGAAGTATTCCCTAAATGCTCATGCAAACACCCAGGTTGAACAAGAGTATCTCTCTTTCAATGCGTCACCACTTTATAAATAAAAGCTTCAGATAACTACCACCAGAACGGGTTATAGGAAAGCGATTTCTCTAGGGACTGGAACGAAGGCTCAGAGGTTAATGGTGACTGCTGAGCAATCATGAGGACTGGAGTTTGGAGCCCTGGCTCCCACCAGGCACCCTACAAGTGCCTAGCTCCGAGGGATCGGACTCCCTCGTCTGGCTGCCTTGGTACACAGGTGCACGCACCCTGACGCACAGAATCAATCTTCTAGTAATCCTAAGTAGAGAACAGTCAGTTTCTGCCGGGGTCCACAAAACAGGGGTGTGTGAGTCAAGCCTGGAAGGTCAGCAAGACAGTCGTCGCATGCTTTTCAGAGCAGTTGAGATGGTGGTCTGGGGTCAGGTAACTTGCCAATATTTAGTCACTCTGCAGAGTATGTGGCTTTCAATTTCCCTATGGGACATTACCTGCTGTAAAATGGGTTTTTCTAGGCAGTTGGAGTGCAGCCTATTAAAGAAACACTAAAACTAGCAGAGCAGCTCAGTTTGAAAGACAGTAATTCTGTTCTTGTATGTGCATGAAAAATTAAAGTATCATAATTGTATGGATTCTTCCTGTAAGGAGAAAAAAATACTAACAGTGGAAATTTTTTTTAAATGCAGACCCCCTAAAGAAAACACGCCTGTCAATATCGTCATTAAATTCCAAGTAACGTCTTTACCAGTTGCTAACACCTTCTATTATGTCACTATAGTAAATTTAGAATAGACAATACAAACTAGACATCAAATATCAGATCTGTTTGCCACTGCCCTTTTCTGAGGATATGAAATAGCATTTTCCTCTTTAAAAATACCAACTTCCAGCAAGAATGCGTTATCAATTGAAGTTGAACTCACAAGTTGGGTTACCATTTTTCAAATTTAACAACAATCAAAATATTAAAACAAAACCCATTTGGGTTTCCTGTTTTTATTCATAGTTATTTTTATTAGTGCCAATTTAGGGGGATTAAGATGAAGAATCCTGCTGGCTCAGCTCATCCTTCCCCCAATTAATGTGCCCAAGGACTAGTTTCCCTCATCCGCTCCCCAAGGAGTCCCTCAGTCACAAGCCTATTCAAACTTCTCCCCAGGGTCCCTCAAAAACAAGGACAGTAACTTTCTAAGGAAACTCAAAGGCCACCTCACCCTTCCCATTGGGTGAGCCCACAGATGCAGCCCTTTCTGGTGCCCTTACGTAAAGGCTTGCTTCACTCCACCCAATGCTGAGGCATCTAAGACAGGGTAGGTAGGATTTCCGTTGACAGAGCACAGTGTATTTCAAAGACTGCTTCAGAGCCTTAGGGAAGTATCCAGCACTGGGAATGGAAGGGAGTTTTAGCATGTGGGATCTGTGCTTGGCAGAGAGAGGAAAAGAGAGGACCAGAAACCTTTCTGTAATGTGGAGGTTCTTTCTGACCAAGTTACTTTTCTCCCTGGTTTCCACTTCCAGACTTGAACTTCACATGTAACCCTGCCGGAACCGGGGGAAGCTGCTGCTGCCTGTTTCTCTGTGTGGACCATAGGGAGATGGAGCTGTGTGACATCCTGTGTGGACCGTCAGGGGATGGAGCTGTGTCATCCTGTGTGGACCGTCGGGGGATGGAGCTGTGTCATCCTGTGTGGACCGTCAGGGGACGGAGCTGGGTCATCCTGTGTGGACCATCAGGGGATGGAGCTGTGTCATCCTGTGTGGACCATCGGGAGATGGAGCTATGTCATCCTGTGTGGACCGTCAGGGGACGGAGCTGGGTCATCCTGTGTGGACCGTCAGGGGATGGAGCTGGGTCATCCTGTGTGGACCATCGGGAGATGGAGCTATGTCATCCTGTGTGGACCGTCAGGGGGATGGAGCTGGGTCATCCTGTGTGGACCGTCAGGGGATGGAGCTGGGTCATCCTGTGTGGACCGTCAGGGGATGGAGCTGTGTCATCCTGTGTGGACCATCGGGAGATGGAGCTGGGTCATCCTGTGTGGACCGTCAGGGGGATGGAGCTGTGTCATCCTGTGTGGACCGTCAGGGGATGGAGCTGGGTCATCCTGTGTGGACCGTCAGGGGGATGGAGCTGTGTCATCCTGTGTGGACCGTCAGGGGATGGAGCTGTGTCATCCTGTGTGGACCGTCGGGAGATGGAGCTGTGTCATTCTGTCCCAACAGTGACCAAGGGTGCCACCTCACACTTCTCAGCCATGGCACCCACCAAGCCGGGTCTGGTTTCAGAAACTCTTTGAGGCTGAGGATGGACTCTGTCTCCTAAGCTGTAATTTGATTTGTCTGAGGGCACATTCTGACAGCTGTATTCTCTGCATCCATCCCCTGCCCCGCTAGTAACACGACGAGGAAACACTGCGCTGCTCATTCCATCTACTCATGAATTTACTTCATGCCAAGCAGGATTTTTAAAGACAAGGATTATTAATACTAACTACTGGGGTGCTCTTCTTAGAGCCTGAGTGTAGAATTCAACAAGACGAGCTATAAACAGAAATAGGAGTTAACTAAAGGAAGGTCTTGTTACAGGTCTGAAGCTTAAGCTCTTTGCCAAAACAAGGGTTCAGGTTGTCTCTACTGTGGCCCACAGGAAGCCTTCACCTGGCTAGGCAGTGCTACTCATTCATCATTCAGAGGTCATTCAAGTTCACTGTGATGGCGTCACAGCCTCAGGGACTGCCTTATTCCACCTGCACAGGCGGTGTGGCTGTTTCTCAAGTCACACTGCTGCAGGCAGGTAACATGTCTCCTGCCTTCTCTATCTTGACCCTGGCCAAGTGTTCTCCCGTCGTTATCGACACAACTCTAAAATCACAAGTTATAGCAAAAAGCATTTAGAAATTTGTAACTGACTGCTAGTCAATGGCTGAGATGCCAACGGGCTTTTCTGCAACAAACCCAGTCAGATGTATCCATAGTAAGAAAAGCCCTTTCTCCTTCCCCGCTGTTGGCAAAACGTGCCAAGACATTCCATTAAGAACATGAAGGGGGCAGTTTGTCATTTCAGAAAGGAAAACTAAGTGTAATGAACGGACTGTGCTCTTACTCACCACTGACGTCAGGGCCATTTGAAAACTATAGATGCGGGCAAGGCCAAAGTCAGCCAGTTTGATTTGTCCACTGCTGGTCACCAGGATATTCTGTGGCTTTAGGTCACGATGCACTACTCGGTGAGAATGAAGAAAGTCCAGACCTCGGAGAAGCTGAAACATCATATCCTAAAAGAGAGAACAAACATGCAAAAGTCAGTAGATGCTGCAAGCAGTTCGGCAGGTACTGTAAAAGACGACACTGCATCCCCAGCAGACCTGAGACGAAGGCTCGTCTCCCCTCTCGTCATACTCCCATCTTCTAGAACACTGGGAAATACTTAGCTCCCACCTTGTATTTCATTAGCAAAAGGACATCTTAGCAGTCATTTCTACGGTATACGAATCACTCTGGAAGGCGCTGCTGGTTAATGCTAAGATGGGGAACTAGGAGATGGACCAAGAAGAATGCATTTTACTTTATATAATTTTATTTATTAAGTTATTTCAACAGTCAATATATGGCAAACAGCCAAGAATGTTTCTAAATGTTTTCTGTTTAGCAACCTATTTAAGTCTAAGCCACAACACTGAGGTGAATTTTCATGTCAAGAATCTGATATATTGAAGTAAGTTCCATAAGTGGCTCAAGGTCACAACTCTGAAGTGAAAGCACAATTCGAATCATCCTTGATTAATTAAACGATGAAAGACACACGGAAGACAAGGCCTGCTGTTTAATTTCTCTGGCTCTTGGTGTTTTTATTGGTGCTGTTTCTCCAGCGATGATGCTGCAGACAGACAGACCAACAAACATGTCTCCTGTTTTCTCCACCCTGACCTTGAGTTGTTCACTTCCCAAACGGCTGGGATCCTCTAAGCTCTGAGACAAAATCAGCTTCTTCTTCCCTAAGTAGCTTCTAGCTAGATAGCGCACGATAGAAAGCAACCTAACAAAAACTAGTATAGAAAACTGGAGCTGCTCGGTGGTGGCGCACGCCTTTAATGCCAGCACTCAGGAGGCAGAGGAAAGCAGATCTCTGCTGAGTTCGAGGCCAGCCTGGTCGACTACAAAGCAAGTCCCAGGGCAGGTCCCAAAGCTACAGAGAAACCCTGTCTTGAAAAACCAAAGATAAAAAAAAAAAAGGGAAAACTAAAATAGGTATGAGAAATGATAAGTGAGATGCCTGCTGTGAGAAACCTGACCGGGAAAGCTGCAGTCCTAGAACGCTGTGAGCAGAACTCACCAGACATTCCAGTGGGAGTGTGGGAGGCCAGAATCGGGAACTGAACTACAGGTCATTGAAAAAATATAAATACGGCTGAGTTCTGCTGTACCCTGAATATCCGAGTGAAGTTCAATTCAAACCTAGTGGGTTGTCTGGCAGAACATCCAGGCAATGGTGTGGTCGCTGCTTACTGTTAGTTAGGTTTAGAGCAGGAATTCAAAACCCAAACCAGAACAGAATGATACAGAAAAAAAACCTGAAATTAAAGAGCAGAGAGCCTTTGGACGTGTGACCAGGGCTGAGGAGCGAGTAGGGAGAAAGCGATGGATACTTGCTAAGGAGCTCAATTAAGTGTCAAGAAAGAGGATCCACAGCCTTTCCACAAAGACAGACAGAAAGGTGCTTTGCCAGTGATCCCACCCACTGAAGATGTCAGAGTATAAAACTGTAAACTCATTTGGAAATCGGTCATTTAAAAAGAGAACCTTCGATGTAAAAACTAAGCCCAAATGAAGAATGCCGCTACACAGATGCCCTCCCTCAAAAGGGCTGCAACAGAGAAGCCCTTCCTCTGGAGTGGCTGCGGGTGCTTGGAGGCCACTGCAGCCGTACTCCTGAGGGCGAGGCAGCACCAGAAGCTGGCATCAGAACTCGAGTAATGCGGCAATCAATGGAAGCTCACCCCAAGACTCCAGAGAAAAGGCCAGTGTGTGACAGGGCTGGAGTGACTGGAGAGAAATCTAAGACGTTCCCGCTGTGAAGCCATGGAAGAAAAGAAGCTGAGATTTCAATGGAGACTACAGGATGACGGAGGTGAGAAGAGTCCGGGGCATTTGATGAGGAAGACTGCAGAAACCGAGTGAGCCGGCTGTGCGTGCTACAGTCAAGAGGCTACTCAAGGCCATGGGATCTCAGAAGACGCCACCAAAGGCCCATAGGTTGGGAGTGGAGCATCAGACCGGGGTTTGGTGTTTGCCTGACAGTCCTGCTTTGGTCTAAGGGTTCCTTGCTAGTCTCCTGTTCTTCGCTTTTGGAATGAGAGTGTCTACTCCATGCTATTGTACATTGGAAGAATACAATTTGTTTTCTGGTTTTACAGGGCTCACAGCTAAGAATCTACCCTGAGTCTCAGGAGACTGGATTTCTGGACAGTGTTTGAATTACTCCAGATGGGGATTCTTAAAGCTAGATTGAGTAAAATTAGTATTAATTATGAAGTGGCCACGAGCCTCTGAGGGCAAGGGATGAAGTGCTGTGATTTGAATGTAAACCATTCCTCATGGGTTCAATGTGTTTGAACATGACATTCCCTACTGATAGCCACAGATTGGTCGGGGCTGGGGGCAGAGGCTGGGGAGGCTTTAGGAGACAGGAGCCTTAGGCCAGGAGAAATGCTAAGGGTAGCTGGCCCACTTTGGGCTTGAGTTCTCTGCTTCTTGGTTATCACCTTATGTTTCATACTTCAGCCATCAGGGCTGTGTCCTGTCGCTGACATTGTGCCTTCCTCACTATGACGGGATATTCTAAACAGTGAGACAAAATTAACCCGCCTCAAAAAATGAATGAATGAATGAATGAATGAATGAATTGACCCGTCTCAAGCTGAATTGCCTCTATCTACTATTTAGTTAGGGCAACAGAAAAAAAAATACAATCACTAAACCAGTTTACTGAGAACAACATTGGTTTTGGGTTCACTTTCTGAAGTTTAGAATTCTGTCTGCTTAAAATCAAATCCTTAGTTTTTCTAGGTGTCGCATGTAGAAGATAGCATTTACTTTTGCTAACAGGAGGTTCGAATCAAGGCGTGCAGCAGGGAAGGACTGTTTCAGGCACACGGTGAGCCTTTAACACATGGGACTTATTAAGATGAGGATGGCTGTGTTGTCTCCTGCTTTCTGGGAAAGCCAGATGCACAGCAGTCAACTGTAAGGTTAGTGTGAACAAGGCGCTAAGAGGGGACTCACAACGATAAAGGGGTATGGACATGATTTCTGAGATCCCCTGCTGGGCATTCTGAGCTGCTCTTTCAGCTTCCAAATGTGGGTGTCTTGGAGGAGACCTGCCCTTGGGACACTTGGGAACTGACATCAGTCAAACAACTTGCCACGAATAAACAGCAGAGTGAGAGGAGACACAGGATGCGAAGGCAAAAGCATCGTTACTAGAAACCATGCACAGAGCTTGTTAGCACCGGGTTTTTAAAAAGCACGACTAGCTTCAGGTAATGTCCCGCTGGCTCATTCTCTAAACTTCCGATACACTGAGCATCTTTCTTTGAAAGTAGCACAGGGAATAAATCTGCCTGATTCATGTCGCACTGGTCAGACAACTCAAGTAGACAATTCAGAACATAAAATTTAAAAACTTGAACTAATTTATTAATTGTTAAAGCCCACATGAATTTACAAAATGCCTGTACTATAGAGTAAAAACGTATGCACTATTTTGGTCTTCTAGCGTAGTCATTACAAGCTTAATCATAAATTGAAAAATAAGTACATATGACCTTTCACATAAAGAAGAGATGTTTACCATAGAGGAAGAGGAAAATCCTACTTATAATCTAACTACTAAGAGAACAGAGAAAATCTCACTGTCAAATAATCTTTGTGCATATTTTTACTTTCTTTTCAAAATCACAAACATTACATTTATAAAAAGAAAATGTTTAAGTAATAGTTACCTGTATACTTTATTTTATAGTGTTAAAAAATACAATTTATAGCCAGGGGTGGTGATGCACACCTTTAATCCCAGCACTTGGGAGGTAGAGGCAGGTGGATCTTTGTGACTTCGAGGCCAACCTGGTCTACAAGAGCTAGTTCCAGGGCAGCCAGGGATGTTACACAGAGAAACCCTGTTTCGAAAAACCAAAAAATTATTGAACCGGTAAAGCAGTTCTCTGGGTAGAAGTGTTTGCAGCACAAGCTGATGATCTGAGCTTAACCTCAGGAACTGACAGTGGAAGGAGAGAAGCGACTCCAACCATCTGTCCTCAGACCTTACACACACACACGCACGCACACACACACACACACACACACGCGCACACTCCCCACAACAAAAAATTACGGAGAATATTGTGTAAATTAAACAAAATTCTTCTACTTTGTTTCATACAATGTAACTCTTAGTGGCTATGTAGTCTTCCTTCTTGAGTTACGTCATTAATTATTATTTGGTGCCGTTTTGTTACCTATAGTACCAAACAAAGAGGTCGAAACCTATAGGTCAAAAGTTATAGGTAAACAAAGAGGTCAGGCTCTCTGTTTAAAGGCTAATGTGACTTGCCAAAATCATATCCAAGCATGGATTAAATAGTATGATCCACATCCCCTTGTTCACATTCACTCCATGCTAATGACATGTGGAGAGAATAGGTCTATGTAAGAATTTACTACTCTTCCAGTACTCAGGAGGCAGAAACAGGCGGCTCTGTGAGTTCAAGGCCAGTGTGGTCTACAGAGGTAGTTCCAGCATAGCCAGGGCTGCACAGGGAAACCTTGTCTGGGGGAGGGGAGGTAGTGGAAGACACTACAAAAGTAGGCACCACATTAAGACATTGTTCCAACTCTACAGAACAATACGAATGAAGGAACTACAGTATCGTTTAATTAAGAATCTGCTTCAGTCACAAGAACCGTTCTTATAAAGAATTCAAAGGATTGTCAATGTGCTTTATCTCAATTTACAGCAGAGGTCCTCAACTGGTAGGTTGCAACCCCTGGGGGGGGGGGGGGGTGTCAAACGTCCTTGACACTAGGATTCACAACCGTGGCAAATTTTCAGTTATGAAGTAACAACTTGAATAATTTTATGATTTGGGGTCACTGCAACATGAGGAACTGTTAAAGGGTGGCAGTATCAAGGAGATTTAGATCCACTGTCTCTCAGTGTGAAAAGACACTTTCAGTCAGCTCAAGATTTTAATCTAAATTCACCTGTCCCAAGTGGCCG